TAATAGTTAATAAAACATATCAAATATTTTACGATACACGTTAAATAAAGCTCCAAAAGATATTTCTAAACGTAGAAGTTAGAACATAATATGAGCCTTCGAAATTGTATTTTTCCAATTTTTCTGGAAAAAATCCATCATTTGCATTTTTTCGGAAAATTACCCAACAGTGCTAGTAGGTACTGATTCACATAAATTAACCTTAGTACATAATTCGAACTGTAGATGGCGACACTTGGATACAATAAAGATATAAATATAGTCATAAAGTATTGAATCTCGAAAAAGATTAAAATTAAACTATAATAATCTAGTCTACAAAATAATGTCACACGCGTAGCTCCGTTCGGACGCTTATTTTGATTCTTAACGCTGATCGATAGATGGTGAAGTAAGGCACATGGGGCTTGTCAACTTATGTCTCAAGGTGACGGGCGCAGTGGCAGTGCCCCTCAGATCTTTGCCATTTGAAGCTCTGAGTGACTGTTATGGACAGGCGTGTAGCTTACCATCAGGTGCACGACGTGTTCGTCCTGCCACTTGATATTATAAAAAAAAAAAAATAAAAAATAAAACCGGCGATGCGTTTGTAATAATATTCGAAAAGGTCAATAGAAGGCAGCTATTATATTATTGTCAAGATTATTGCTCTTGTTCAGGCGATGATTAGATAATAACATTATTACAATGAAATCGCAAAGAAGCTTTTAACAAAAAGTCAGTGCTAAAACGTTATAAATTCAAAGAAGTGCCATCTATACAGTTGACTGTTGACTGCAAACTAACAAACAAAAAGAATACAATATTGAGAAATCTTCGAATTATTATCTTTTCAAGTACAAATACAGGAAAAACAAATTGTCATTTTGTGAAGGACAGAAAGTAATGGTGAGAGATCTATATAAAAATAAGAAAAGTTGGTAAAAAATAAAGTTTTAGTACCAAATACAACTTCTATGGTAGTGGTAGCAGGCCAGCAATGTAAACAACACGCAAACCAACTATTGGAATGTTCTCAAGTTTAGATTAATGTAAATAAGTGAATAAGTAGTAAAATAGTTTTAAATTATGACTTATCAATATCAAAAAATTGAGATATTCAGTACATTAAGAAAAATGTACCTTGATCTAATAATTTAAAAAAAGTATTTTTTTAAATAATTATTATTAGTTATGAATATCGAAACTAGACATATTCAATATATTATTAAGAACTATCCGACTCGCTTTATTAAATTTGCAGTTCTGAGCAATTTAAGGGACTTAATAAATAAACAAAATGATGTACGTAACTTACGTAATTTGACGTACACTTGTACGTCAAATTAATTTTAAATTATAGAAGATTTGAAGTAGCTTCAAATGATCCGAAAAATAAAAAAGCTAAGCGCTATGCCGCTTTTCTTTGGAAAAGTCTTTTCTGGCCACATTGAGTAATACACTACCGAGTATCGAAATAAAAGTTATTGAAATTATACGTTATTTAGGACTAACACACATTATAAACCTAAAATAACAGGGATTAGATGCATAAAATTAGCCGCAATACTTTTATTATTGTAAAGGTGAACGACCAATATGAAATTATTAAGTTTGTCAATGGTATGTGAATAATGTGTAAACGTTAATTATATTTGATAGTGGAATATTTGATCTTAGCATTTTGCATGCCAGTGTCTTAAAAATGTGAGATTTTGACATGATTATGTCTTCTTATCGTGGTAATGACATTCCTGTATTACCGCAGCCTAAAACTTAATAACGCTGATCACGTCTAACTTTCTGGATAAGATTGAGAATAAATTTTAGTTTTCGGGATAACTAACATTCCAAGCATAACTATCTGTTCCCGTGACCCTTCAACAATTAGTCAACACTATCTATAAGTATATATTTTAAATATTTACTTAATGAGATGTAACATTTATTAGATTATAAACTAATTGCCATGTTAATTGTAAATACATAGAGCATGATGTATATCTCTAATTAGTTTTTGTCGGTCGACATTGCATTGTCCACTTTTTTATGTTATCTATTCTTTATATCGTTCCAGAAGGTACCATATTATTTGAAAAATCATTGTTAACTTTTAGATATGCAAATACAAATAATTACAAGTAATCCAACGTATCCACAACATTGCTTAAACATTTTGATAAATGGACTGGTGAAATTACAGGCACATGGACCTTGTCGACTCATGTCTCAGGGTGACGGGCGCAATGGCAGTACTCCTCAGATCTTTGCTATTGGCACTGCAATTGTTATGGACAGGTGTGTAGCTTACCATCAGGCGCACGACTTGTACGTACCCGTCACTTGACATTATAAAAAAAAAGACCTTGAACTTACTTCTAATGTTACACAATACCGTATCAATAAGTACTTGTACAAATGTAATCAACTTTATCAGTTCGTTGATTTATAGGAAAATAGTCATTCAGTAATCAAGGAATTACAAATAAATTGGAATCTTGTACGTATGTGATGTCACTTTTGTGGCATAAGAATTCAAGCTAAATACTTTTGTATAATTCCAAGTGACGGAATACTAAGAAGCCTTTTGCTAAAAAGAGATGGGTTTCCACGTCACTGATTTATTTAATAATAATATCTCTAGCGTTCATTAAGAAATCGAAAGTACAAGTCAAGTATAGTGTATTTACAGCACGGCTTGTATGTGTGCGCAATCGCCGCGCGCCGTGTACAAACACACTTTCGCATAATAATGCAATGCGCGTATAGAGATGGGTCATGGATAAATAAATATCATTGGAATAACTATTCAGTCCATTTTTACTCGATATTTATCCAAAAACGTTAATAAATATTTTTAATCGTGGTTTATTATTTACATTTAGTAAAACAAAGTATATTTTTAAGTTTAATTGTAAATATTGATACAATTTAGTAGCATATACGTGTATAGTATATTGCTTGCTATTATACCTTTTTTCTATACGCAATGATAAAAATAATCCTTTTAAGTACAGTAAATCACTGTATTTTTGCGTAAACCTTATTATTATTTAAATGCGCACTTTGTTAAAAAAAATTGTCTTCACGCAATATTAATCAGATATCTAACATTTTGTATGGAATTTTTTTTTCGAGATACTAAGTTAGTCCGTTTTTGTACATTTGTTCAGCTTCGTATGGGTTTTTGGTTGTTCAATGTGTTATTTAAAAAATTGCACAGACTTCATTGGAAATATTAGGGGTTAAAGTATGAAATTGCCGTTTTATTGCAATAGGTTCTTTGAATTTTCATAGAATCTTCATGGTTTGAGGTTTTCGAATGAAACTTTTTTCAAATGGTTTCTGTGATTTTTTTTTTTTTAAATTTGAAACATTTGAATATCGACTTTCAATTGTTTTTGTTATTCAATTTAGACAAGAAAGATGGATACTGCGAAAATTCGAGTGATTTTTGAATACGAGTTCCGACGCGGAACTAACGTGGCAGAAACAGCCCGCAATATCAATGCTGCGTTTGGAGAGGGGTCTACTAATGAACGCACCGTGCGATTTTGGTTTAAACGCTTTCGTGATGGAAATTTCGACTTAAAGAACGAGCCACGAGGAAGACCGCCCACACAGGTGAATAACGATGAATTAAGAGAGATAGTGGAAGCCGATCCTAGTCAAACTACCCAGGAATTAGCGGCATGGTTTAACGTTACCTTACCCACAATATTGACTCACTTGCGTCAAATCAATAAAATAAAAAAATACGAAAAATGGGTGCCTCATGATTTGACTGATCTGCAGAAAGAAACGCGTGTTGAAACTTGTGTTGCCTTGTTGAACCGGTACAGAAATGAAGGAATATTGGATCGAATTGTAACATGTGATGAAAAGTGGATTCTTTATGATAACCGGAAAAGAAAAATGCAATGGCTGACCCCAGGTCAAATGCCACAACAGTGTCCTAAAGCAAAACTTACCAATAAAAAGGTAATGGTAACTGTTTGGTGGTCTCAGCATGGTGTTATTCACTATAGTTTTCTCCGATCTGGTCAAGCAATAACGGCAGATGTCTATTGTGCCGAACTCCGAACCATGTTGACAAAACTAGCAGTAAAACAGCCCCGACTTATGAATCGATCTTCACCATTATTGCTCCACGACAACGCGAGACCTCACACAGCACGAGAAACCATTTTGACCCTTCAGGAACTGCAGTTAGAAACCATTCGTCATCCTCCGTATTCACCAGACCTTGCTCCAACGGACTACCATTTTTTTCGTGATTTGGACAATTATCTACGTGACAAGAAGTTTTCTTCCCAGGAGGCAGTACAAAATGCTTTCACACAGTTTGTGCAGTCTAGATCGTCGGAGTTCTATCGCAAAGGCATTAATAACCTTCCTATTAGATGGCAGCAATGTACAGATAATAATGGCAACTATTTTGATTAAATAAATTTGTTAAAAATTTAAAAAATAAACAATTTAGATTTTCAGTACAAATCGGCAATTTCATACTTTAACCCCTATTACTTAAACGATAAGTATTCTAATACAAAGGAAATTCAATTCAAAATCACTTGGCCACTATTTTGCCAAAGCCTTAAATTCGCTACCGAATAATTTACGTGAATGCGAAAGGGACGGAGAGAGCCACTAAGGAGAATTGCAAACATTTATTTTTTTATTTTAAACATTTATATATTTAATTGATAGATTTTGTGCGTAAAATATGAAAGTAGTACGCAGTAGACCCCAAGACCATAAAGTTGCGTCACACTTTATTAATGCAGGATAGGTCAGCTCAAGGGATTACAGATTTAATAACTTTCTATCGAGTTCTTAGGTTTTCGCGATTGCTACACATAGGAAATGAAACACCTATACGTGATTTCGATCCGGAAAAATAGTTTCATTTCCTATTGATAACTTTCTGTTAAATGAAGTTTCTATACAAGGCAAGTTCTATTTTCATAGAAGTTTAGGTGAGTATGTTGCAATTAGTTTACATTCCTACCATTAGAGAGATGTTATCGACTCGAAAAACTTAGGTACTAAAACAGTATTGTTGCATAAAACAATGGCAAAATGAGATGTAATCCTACGTAATTATTTAATAAAAAATAAATTCTAATGAATTTTATTATAAAAAAGCACTAAATATAAATATCCATGTTTTAGGATAAATATAATTCTCAATAAAAACGGATATTTATTGGATGTTTATCCTTTGATGGATATATATCGGGTTAAAACCTATCTCTATGCGCGTTGCATTGGGACGACCAGTGTTGTGTAACGCAAGTGCATCGTGAGATTAAGCGAATGTGTGCGACCGTACAAGGCGCGCGGCGGGCGCGCACACATGCAAACCGCACTGCTACGTTTGTGCGGAGTTACCATACTTGTCTTATTATGCTATGTCGACACTGTTAGGTAAGAAAATAGGGAGTGTACTGTACATGCAGCCGGGGCGGCTCACCCGAGGCACTAGCCTATTGAGAACCGGATGAAGTCAGTGACAACGGTCTGTGACAACCCTGTATGTGCACTGGCTGATCCGGGGTCAGGATTTGAACTTAGAAAGTCCCTGTGCTTGCACAAGTTATTGTGCCCTCCTCGTATACCTAAAGGATCAGTGGAGAGGGTCACTATAATTAATTTATATGGAAAGGAAACGGGTTCTTAGAAATTATGTACCTTTTAAATAACGTTTATAAATATTCTTAAAAATATCTTAGGTTTGTATTTATCAAGTTTTCTTTAAATTGCATTCAAAGTTCACTTCGTAAGACTAGAAATTGTGTTTTGAAAACTTTCGAGTGTTTTTGCTGTCACGCGGAGTTTGTTCAACATGCGAATCTATTTTATATTATAGTTGGTACTTGCAGTAACATAAAGAGCCGTGTAAGTTTGTAGTATTTGATGTAAATATGCATCTTATATTCGAATAATTTCTAAAATCTTAAATGCGGCAGACACGCACGTATAAGAAATGCGAAGGTAGACGAATACGTGACAAGAAAAAATCCTCTTTTACTCCGATTCCGATTCTTCTTCATGGATCACGGTCAGGACGCGCATGCTTCTACCGAACCCAGGAAGGCTCTCGCTGGGTCACCGGTACGAACTAATAACACAACACAACAATATACAATAAAAATCACAAGTCGAGCCTCAGTCGAGGTCAGGACTACAAAATTATATCATATATCTCATTACAGCGTAGTTTTATGTGTCTATAGAGGCCCTGTAAGTGTGAATGAAGCGAGACTCAGCAGTTTTGAGTAGGTATGAGCAAGAAGTATGAATGCGATCGCGTGGTAGTTACTGAGAACCGCCGGTCTAGTGTGTTTGTGTATAATTTAGGATATTCTTGTAAAATAAATTACATTGGTGAAATTACATGTTTCATTAAGAAATTATCACAAATTTATTTACTTTATGACCAACAATCAAAAAAGTTACGCGTAAACAGGAAAGCTACTTTGTGATAATATGTACAGAATCGTATTATGTACATTTTCTATATAAAATTTGCCGATTTTAGTAAATACTTACGTAGACGGTTGTTCATCGTGGAATTCAGCAGTAGCGGTACTTTCGATAACTATAGAATTCTCATAGCTCTCCAGAGTTTGTATTTTTTGATCAGCTGTGTTGTTTTTTGGTTGTTCAGTCACAGTGTCAGGGATTTCGGGGATTTTAATTTTCGCTCTATAATAATAGACAAAATTCATATATTAAAGAGGTAATACAAGGAGATGAAGTTACATAAGTACTTATATTTCATACCATAAACATATTCGTAAAACACTAACAACCTCGCAGGACTTCATACTATCATCATAAACGAAAACTTTTGTTTCATGTCACAAATAAAAATATAGATCGCTTTAGACGGTGTAAACTCTGTGCGCAACAAAAGAAAGCGTAAACAAAAGCTACCAATCCGATGCAAAACGCAGGACAGAGGTGGGAGTCGTTGGGGAGGGCGCTTGTACATTTGAGCTTATTATTACTATCTTACTATTAAATACGGATCTGAAAAGTGTCAAAAAAAAAGTATATTTTTGGTAAATTTTTTACTGTTTTGTAAGTCATGGAACAAAAGTATTGTTTATTGTGTATGTTAGTAATATGATAATGTAGTATAACCTTGTATATTTTGTATATCGGATGACCTACACATTTTTTGGGGAATACCCGTGTCTAGTAGTAATACGCGTAGATACATGGGTTAAAATGTAAAAAGCAAAGTTCACAGAGCGTAAAGAATCAGCGCTACATCTCGGCAGTACGAAACCACGTGTGCCCTTACACGGTTATGTTCAACGTGGCCTTGTACGTTGTACGTGAAGAAAAGTTCACAGGATATTGAGCTAAAAAGCACTGCATAAATTTATCGAATTAGAAAGAATAAATCTATAAATATTTCAAAAATTATTATATCGTACATTTCACTATTTGCAACTCATTTTCACGACACATATTCTATACTATGCAAATTCGCGATGCAATATCTGTATAGCGCTTCCAAGTTTTCCATTACATGAAATCTAGGCTTTTTCTATTGTTTTAAATATTTAAAAGAATCGTGGCAAAAAGTAAAACTTTTAATTGCGGTTTTTGCTGCACGCGAATTCGTAGGTACGAGAGGCGGCTGAAAAGTAATCTCCATTTCCAATTTAAAAATAATACTTACTGACCACTACCGTGAAGCATTCGTAGTTTATTCTTTTTTAAAAATTGACGCTCTTTTGTTTATAACGTTTCGCTTTGCACGAACAAAATGTCGGAAAAAAGCAAAACAAGCAACAACTTTTTTTTATCCTTTCTAACTTTTAATTACCTTTTTTACAAATATAATAAGTGCATTTCTTACTTACATTCCCTTTGTACATTTTTGATATTGAAAAAAAGTAACTTGATCATCTTATTTTTCATACCGATTATATCTATTTATGTAGATTACTTTTCAGCCGGCCCTCGTACTCTAAGTTTAATAATTTCTTTTTAATTTAGTATTAACGCCATTTTCAATTTTTCGACCATTTATGGTTGAAATTCCCTATGAACCTATTGTGGGAGAACTCAAAAACAAAGAATGCGCCTTAAACATATTAAGAATTCTGGCTTTAGTACTTAGTTGTATAAATAAAACTTACTCTGGCCCGTCGTCGACAGTCGTTACAGTTATTTGAGGGATTATCGGAGTGGCGGGCCCCTTAAACCACTTAAGATATTTCATTGCTATAGGTGCCTTCGATTCATCTCGACTGTAAAGTAAAATAAAATTAGTCTCAATATTTCGTACATACTTAACTACCCACATATCCAGTTATAGTGATTTAATGGCACAGAAGGCGAAGGGGTATCGTGGTTGCGGATAGATGCGGAGAAATTCATTGTATGTTTCAACATTTGCCTTTTAGAAATAAAATATACTCTCCTATTGTAATATAATCTCATAATCCCTTGATGTATTTATTACAGAAGATGGGACAGAACATTTTGTGGAAATATCTCTATAACAAACGAATTAAACTAGTTTGTCCGTAGATGAATACGGGAAAAAAAAATGAAATTTTTGCGAAACTACGTGATTTTTTTTAAAGGAACTTTAGTCAATTGTGTTTCGGGACTCCAATGCATTGCCAGTATCTTCTGTTTATTATTAATTAGAAAATAAAGTTACTTTCGTATTTTTTAACGCTGAAAACCCGATTTTCCGTGTGGTCCAAATATATCGAAACGTCTATTTTGGATCTCTCTTCTCCTTAAACAAATCTTATAATGTTCAGTGTGCTTTTTAATTAGGACATTGATACGTCTGTAGTCGATAAACTGGGCATTCAATCACGAAGTATAATATAATATTTATGTTTGTTGCGACATGGATTGAGTATGATTGGTTGTCACTAAAGTGTAATACACACATAGAGCGGGTGCGAGTCGGGTGCGGGTCTGGTCGGTTTCGCGGCGGCGTGTGCGCGTGCGCTGGTCTCGCGTCCGCGCTCGGTGTGTTGTCGTCTTTATAAATACACGGAATTAGATCCACTGCGGTCCCGACCCGACCCGCACCTGCTCCCTATCTGTTTCACGCTTCTGTAATTAAGTATTTACAAATGTGTTTTCCGTGGCGTCTACTACTTCAGGTAACTAACTACCTATACTACCTTATATTTTTAGGTATAAAGGTGAAGGTTTAGGGCAGGTGTAAGTACCTACTTTATAAGGGTGAAGTGAAAATCAATGAAAAGCACTTACTGCGCCCGAGATGACTTATCACTGCTTGATAAAAAGTGAAAGAAGGATTCGCGATGTCGACAATTACCCATGTGCATGGCCTTATAATTCTCATAATGTTTCCTTAATACCTGACGAACCTGAAATTAAGAAATGAATTAAAAATACAATACAAAAACATTACAAAGGTCACGTTTTGTGTAACCTTATAAAAAGTTACGTAGTAAATATTATTTATGAATATTAATTAGTAAATATTTGAAACCAAACCTCAGAAAGTTGTATTCAAAATATTTGCCTTACGTAATGCCCAAATGGAGGATATCTTTTTTTAAACTACTAAGTGCAACTTTCTTTAAACATAAATAAAAAACCAAACTGAGAAAGACCCTTTACTTGACGGTGTGATAGACGATAGGAATCCTATATCTATGCTTGCAATTAAAGTGGCAATTAAAGGTTTTTTCTTTAAATAGAACATAACATATTATTATATATTTATAGTAAGTATATTATCATACTTTTTAATTTATTTTCCATTAATAGCGACTAAGAGGCAAAATTTATGGCTATCATCGGCATTGTCTGTTTGCGTTAAACCCACGATGAAATGTACACTTAGATCTACAATAAAATTTACATTCAAAGACTGATAAAACGCGCGCGCGCGCGTTACAGCGCGCGTTACACCGGCGAGCGGCCGCCGCGCGGTTGCAGCGCATCAAACAGCGGCTAATTTGAACGCGCCCTTATACCTACTTAAAAAAGCTAGAGCATAATGCGAGTCCATTTTGAAAAATAAAAACGCATACATGAGCGATCAAGTGACACAGCAGACTGCGTGTTGACTCTGTAGTGGACAAGGAATTGTCTCGAAACTCAAGTCGCTTTCAAGTTTCCCATGCCTATCTTGCGACCGCAAGTTACCACAAATCCTGAGACCAATTTCAATACTTTCTCCCGAGATTTTATCACAAGTAGACACTTAGCTATATTAATTTCATTATACATTATATTCAAATATTAGGCCGCAGATTATAGTATAAGTAGGTTAGGGTATTATATATAGGGTAGGATATAGTAGTCAAGTAATATTCCAACTGTAAGTAATGCATGCGTCAAAGGATATGTGCCACTTCCATGAATTTTCAGCAACAATTGTCGTTAGAGGTGGCGTAAACAAAATGCTATTTCTAATTGTGACTGCTAGGGGCGCTGTACCTACAACTTTTTGTAAAGCCATGGTAACAGGCACAGCACATTCTATTATAATTGGTTATACTAAGCCAACCGTTTATAATATTATTATATGTATATCGTAGTAACTTCTTTTGTATCCTACTTCTTTAGTAAACCCCAATTGTTACTGAACCGTAAAAATCTTTCCAATTTGTTTTATTTTCTGAATAGTGTCCGATTATAGTACAAAAGTCATGAGAAAAATAATGAAACAATTCGAGAAGTTTTGGAAAAGCCGGAAAATAGTGTTATTTTAAAGAACAGTAGTAATTTGAGTTACTATTACTTAGTATATGAATATGCTTACTCTTACACTAAAATTGTTATTGGATTGAATGAAAAACGAATGACTTTATATTTTTTATTAGAAATAAGATAAAAGAATAACTTTCATTTATATAAAAACAAAAACAAAATATCCCCTGTGTAGACATTTGAAAACAGTCGTTCGCATGCAAAGTGATTTTACACTTTGTACAAAGAATTTGGCATTCTTGTGGGAAATGTTGCGTCTTTTCTGTTTATCCCTATAACTTTAGAGGATGGGAAAAAAACTTATAACTTATCATGCCCGTTATTGTCAAAGCGAAATTTTTCATGTAATTTCTTCGAGCCAAATGCCAAATCTACGATTGCCGCTCTTTTTGAAGCTCTCCTTATACATATAGCTACAGCTCTACGAAAGCTAAGCTAATTGTAGTAACAGTAGAGCTCCTTGAGCAAGTGTTCGTCTAGGAAAGTAGAAGTTTTGGTTTTAAAGGGTAGGAGGTTTGGTGAAATTATAGGTAAATGGACTTTCAGACATACAGGTGATGGACGTAGTGATAGTGCCCCTCAAATCTTTGAGTGGCACTGCAACTGTTATGTCGCATACCACCAGGCCTACGACTTATTTGTCCCGTAAGAACGAACAACACATGCTGGTAAGCGATACGCCTGTCCATATCAATTGCAGTGCCGTCTATGGAGCACTGTCACTGCGCCCTTCACCCAGACATAAGATAAAGTCCCATATCCCTGTAATTTCACCAGCAAACGAAAACCGGAACCCTTCAAAATCGAAACGCTGTAATGCTCACGTTATCGTTATCGTTAGTGGCGGCAGAAATAGGTAAGGTGGAAGTACTTCCCTGGACGAACTCTTTAACAAGGAGCTCTACTGCTAAGTATTGCTGAGCTAGACACATGTCATCGTCACTGTCGTTTGTTCACAGTTCTCTGGAGGCAAAATTGTGATTTGAGATGGTACGTCCTTACTGTTTTCGTTATTCTCCAGCTTCTCTATAATTTCATTCAAAGTCGTAATATGAAAATAAGAATACTTTGTATAAACATAATGTAATAGTAGCCTATATTACTAGTGTTTGATATAAGGAACACCAACTTTGACTACAAAAAAATCACAGTTTTCATTTATTGTTAGAATATAAAAAGCTGTTAAAATTGTCGTAGAACATGATAATGTTACTATGCCGAAGCATCAAATACATGCAATAAAAATATCAACAACTTACCTTTTATTAGCCATCCTGTTTTTTTATCTACATTCTTCAACAATAGTACACAATATACAATATTTCACAAACACAGCTCAAATACTAATTAGTCAAATGGGTAACTTCTGGCTTAACGGTCAACACTAAAAAAAATTTTTTAAACTACCCTCAATCAACGTTAGATTTTTTCTTGAGGTGTTCCTTTAAAAGTGAGCTAGTAACAAGTGGTCGTAACTTTTAACCTTTCAGAATCTGTATTGTTTCACTACATACAATAAATTGTTATATATACTTTACACTTACATAATTTTAAGGTCCTCAACAAAGCGCGTCATTGTGTTATGAACTTAATGATATTTATTAAACTAGGATAATAGTAATAAGTACTCAATACATTTTAGATTGACATATCGGAACTTTTTATGTGCAAACGTTCGACTATCACATGCATAAATAAGTAATAACACTGTACAAACGTATTAAAGCACAATATGGTAATAGTACGTACATGTATTAATATAATAATATAATCGGATAAAATAATCCCACTCGGAGTGAAGTGATCATAAAATACAGCGTGTTATAAAAAGTCTTGCCATATTTTATCTGGTAATTTCTAAAGTAAATAAGTTAATCGTGAAAAATAAACCTTGGTTCTCCTTGTAAAACGTTTGTGGTCAGCTCGTATATTTATTGTACGGGGAATAAAAATTGGCTTTGATAATTATGAGTATTTTTTTCTCATCTTAACTGTCGTGAGCACCTACTGTCGATCTGTCGGACTTTTTGATTGCACCCTGTCTGCAAATGCCATGTGGTCGCGACAACCATAATTGAATCGACATGCCGCGATGGGGGGTCCATCCATTTGTCAGCTTTTACTATTTCAACGAGTGCGCCACGTGATCATACCCTACATTTTTGCTGAAGAAATTAATAGCTATATAAAAACCTGATACATTAAAACGTTTTCACGTTACTTTTTGTATTGGTTCGTATGCACTGTTACCTTCAAGGTATTTTTCACTGACCCTAGACAATGTGCTGAACGTTAATATGTGTGTTCTACTGCAAATCTATTTTTGAACGTTATTTAAACAAAGAAACAGTTACAAATCAGATGAAACTAACAAAATTTATATCCTTAATAAGGCAAATGCGTTGCCGTGGGACATAATATGAGAAATTTCCCGAGTCTGTGATGGCACTGGCTCTTCATGTCCTTAAAACTGGAACACAGCCAATGAAGTTGTTGGTTTGGGGAACTCACCAAATGGTAACTAGTGACAGACAGAAACATTACCACCATAAAAATCATACAAAAATATATTTAAAAAGAACGAAATGAAATGAAAATACTCTTAAAATATAAATGTTATGCTAGTAACATGAAGTGGATTTTAGTATACCACACCAAGTAATTTTCTATTTTACACGTTTATATTGTATAATAAAATCTGAATACAGAAAATTAATATGTTCTGTATTCAGATTATTACTATTCAAAACATATTTTTTGAGAATTATGGTTGCATATTGAAGTAATATTTATTGAACGTGTGAGCGTTAAATTGAATAGCAGTTTGAAATAACAAGCAACAGCTTCTTCGAATAAAAATACGTTTAAATAACACATAAGGTTCGTAAACACGTCCGAAAATTCACCAATGATCACTATGACTTCGTCTTTGTAAATTTAAATAACAAAGTACCTAACAGCAATTCATCACTGGTAAGCATTCCGGTCTGTATAAATATTAATTATAAAAAAATATTTTCTTTAAAAAGAAATAACCGGCATGTATCTACTTTATTTAGCATAATCGTAAGTATTCGCTAATCAGTTCATAAATCTCAACATCCATGGCGCTTTGTATCCTTTGTATGTTGTTTCCTTAATTATTAATTTCAAACAATATTTTTCTAATCACGCTATTACTCTGTGTTCCTTTTCGTGCACATTCTCTATATCAACTTCCATGGCTAAAGAACCTTTTAGTATGGAATTTGCATGGTTTTTTCACCCGGCTTACAGTAACGTTGACCAAATTCTTATTTTGTTTACACTGTTCATCTTCATTCACAGTTCATCTTTATATATTGATACTTTTGTAGATACGTTTCTTTTAAAAGTTTCGGGACTTTCTTCTCTTACATTGTGCTGTTTCTCCTGTTTTTCGTTTACTTTTCTTTTATTTGTAATCTCTGTTTTTAATTTTATTATAATTTATTATAATTTGACGGTCTCTGTGACCAAGTGGCTTGCACACGGTTTTCATGGTGTCGCCATTTCTGAGGTACCGGGTTTGATCCCGGCCGGGTCGTGCAGAAACTAACTTTTCTATATTGTCTCGAGTCTGGATGTTTGTGGTACCGTCGTTGTTACCAATTTCCATAACACAAGT